AGTTTTCTGGTGGTTAATTGGAGATAGGAGTCTCATAGACTTTCCTGCCTGGGCTGGCTTTGAAGGGCCAGCTTTCTGAGTAGCTAGGATTACAGGCGTGATCTACCAGTGCCTGACTTATTTTTAAATTTTTGATTATGTATTTTGAAGCATAAGTTATGAAATTTTGCTGATGTTTAAACACTTATTTTTCTTTAGCTGCTTGTGATTCTCAAGACATATGTAAGGTTTTGCCCAGTTCAGGGTCACAAAGAGTTATTCTTATATTTTCCCCTAAGAATTTTATAGTTTTAGCTCCTATATTTAAGCCTTTGATTCAATTTGAGTTGCATTCTGTTTGTGTGCAAAGAAACAGTCTTTTATATTTTTTATTTTTAGTCTATGGATATTCAGTTTTTCCAACACCATTTGTTGAAAAGATGATTCTTTCTCTCTTGAATTATCTTGGCACTGAGATTGGAAATATTGGCACGGATATTGGTCATAAGTGGAAGGGTTTATTTCTGGATTCTTGGTTGTGTCCTATGGGTCTATATGTCTACCTCTGTGTTAGCATCTGTAGCCTTGTAGTAAGTTTTGAAGGTGAGAAGTTTGAGTTTTACAACATTTCGTTTTCAGGATTGCTGGGGCTTTCTACATCCCTTGCAGTTCCATATTAGCCTGGCACTTGCTGCCTTGAAGCCAGCTGGGATTTTGATAGAGATCACATTTGCTAAGGGCTGAATTGTGATGCTGTCACATTCACTTGTTGAAGACCCAGCTACCAATGTGATGACATTGGGAGATAATTGAGTGTAGATGAGGTCCTGAGGGCAGAACCCCCTGAGAGATGGGATTAGAAGTCTTATGGAAAGAAAAATTAGAGAGATGTCTGTCTGTCTATCTGCCATATAAAGACAGAAGGATGGTGGCCAGCCACAAGTCAGGGAAAGGATCCTCAGCAGAACCCAACCTCACTGACACATTGATCTGGGGCTTCCAGTTTTCAGAAATGTGAGAAGATGAATTTCTATTGATTATACCACCAGTCTACAGCATTGCTATGGCTTCTTGAGCTAAGCATTCAGTTGGCTAGATTTCATTTGAAGAGTGTAGCTATCTTAATGGCATTAACATGGGGGTGATTACCCACCTGTTTAATGCTTTATAGTTATTGTAATATAAGTGTGCATATATTTTGTTAAGTTTATTTGTATACATTTTATTTTTGATGCTATGGAAAGCAGAATTGTTTTCAGATTGCACATAAAATCAGATTGAATATAAAAAATACAATCCATTTTGGTGGATTGATCTTGTATTCTGGAACTTCAATGAACTGACTAGTTCTTAGAGATTTTTAAAATACATTCCTTAGGATCTACTGCATATAAGATCACCTTGTGTGCAAACTGAGAGCGTTTCTTTCTCAGTCTAGATATGTTTTGTTTCATTTTCTTGCCTAATTAACCTGGCATGAACCTGCAATGAAAGGTTGAATAGAAGTGATGACAGCAGACACCCTTGTCTTGTACTTGATCTCACAGGGAAACATTCAGTCTTTCATCAGTAAGCATAATGTTATCTGGGGATTGGCTTTTGTTGTAGGTAGAGAGTTTGGCTGAATACATAGTCCTATCTTGACAGTTATTTATTTCAGTACATGAAAGATATTATTCTACTGTTTTCTAGTTTGTTTCTTGCTATTAAAAACTCAGCTGTCAGCCTATTTACCACACAGAGACAGGTGATCTGGCTACTTTAAAGATGATCTCTTTGTCTTTGATGATTTGAATTTTCATTCTGATGTGCGTAGGTGTGTTTCTTTTATATTTTCCAGGAGAGTTAATTAGGTAGTTATTTTACAATGACTGTATACACTCAGTATACACTCTTCGATGTTCTGATTTTGCCCTTGATTGTTTCTGTTGGCTCTCTCTTTTAGAATTTACTTATTTTAATTTTTATCTATATTTTTCATAATGGTCCTGGGGCTTGAAGTCAGGGCCTGAGCCATGTCCCTTAGCCTTGTCACTCATGGCTAGTGTTTTACCATTTGAGCCATTATCTCCACTTGGGCATTTTGCTGGTTAATTAGAGATAAGAGTCAGACAGACTTTCCTGCATGGGCTGGCAGATCTCAGCCTCCTGAGTACCTAGGATTACAGGCACTGAGTTACTTGTTTTCCTAATAACATAATCTGTGGGAGTTCTTTACAGTGTAGAGTGAGGTCAAGATCGTCAAAAGAGGACTGATGTTTTCCAAGTGTGGGACTTCCTTTAAGATACTGTTGGACTGATTTGTAAACTTTATGTGAAATACACAGCATAGATATCATGCATGAATCTTGCAAGGCATGAAGCCACCAAGCAAGCTTTCTTGATGAAACTTTTTCCAGAACTAGTTTGTTTTCACCTGTCATACACTGAAAGTAAGATTTCTGCAGAGGGACATCTCAGAGGTACACACAGATCTCCTTATTAGATTCCCACTTTGGCCAGGCTCTAGAATTGTCTGCATTCTCTAGGATACACTTGCACATGAAGAAAAAAAAAATCTCAATACCTCAAAGGTTTAACTATGAGGATGAAATCTGGCATTGGTAATCACACTGGAAGCCACACCTCATTCTGTTTTTGACCTCTGAAGATCCTTTCTTTTCATATGAGCATGGTAGTGCATGTTACAGAGTTTTAACAAGAAATGCATAGAAATTTTAGTATTTTCAAATGAGAGGTGTAATTAGGGCAACTGTTTTTCTCACAGGTTACTGCTGGGAACCAACATCCTGTTATCTGTTGTTGCCTCTAAGCAAGTTAACATAGAAAGTATTTAGAAAAGCAGTAGCCCATTTCCCCCTTCAAGTCCCCATTGAAAGAGTTATTCCAGGCACTTGTAGTAGATTATCAAAATTGCCAAATTAATCCCTTCTTGCATTCACATTCTTGAATTCTGATGTGAAGGTCCTTTCACAAAAGGCAAAGTCTGTATCTTACGACTTTGAGTCTGAGTTGGCTATTTGACATGTGCTGATTACAGCAGAAGCGAGGCTGGAGGTCTTCCTTATTGAAGGTTGTTTTCTCATTGCACTTGGAGCTCTGAGATTACCCTATGAATGAGCCCAAGCCAGCATGGAGGAGGATGAGAACCACATGGAGGCACAGGTCAACCATTACGCTGCTCTGTGTGTATGTGTGTGTGTGTGTGTATGTGTGTGTGTGTAAGTCCTGGGGCTTGAATTCAGGGCCTGGGCACTGTCCTTAATGGTCAAGGTTGTTACTCTATCAGCTTAACCACAGTTCCACTTCTAGATTTCTGGTAGTGAATTGGAGATAAGAGTCTTATAGACTGGGGAGGTGGGGAAGGAAAGGGATGGTAGGGGAAAACAAAGGAGGGAGTAACAATGCTCCATAGGAAATGGACTCATTATCTTTCTCATGTAACTGTAACTGTACAGTATCTTTACAATAAATATATATTGAAAAATAATAAAATAAAAGAGTCTCATAGATTTTTCTGCCTCTGATCCTCAGATCTCAGCATCCTGAGTAGCTTGGATTCCAGGTGTGACCCATGGGTACCTGACAACCATTACATATTGATGTCAGCAAAAGGTGATGGATAACACTTTCTTAAGACTACTACTGAGCCACATATCATCCATGCAACAATTTCTTTTATGTCTTTATCCTTTGTGCTGTCTCAATATGTGAGGATGTAAAACACATCATTTGCCAAGATGCTCTTGAAGTTTGAACTTGTCTAACGTGTTTGCCAATTCTCGATATGAAATACAAATCCTACCAATTAAAATATATGTCATCCATGTTTCTATAAACAAAATGGGAAATAGGAATATGTATATGCTTTGGGCAAAGATCAGTTCAATTATGAAGAAAGAAGATGAGGATTTTTCTCCATGGCAGCGAAAGCCCGTTTCAGATACAATAGACTGAAGCAGTATTAATATGAAAAGATGGTGGTTTTGATTGTCAATACATCTCATATAAATAAACCATGTGAAATGGCTGCTCAGGAAGTCAATCTAGAATTGGCCACATCAACAGAAATGTGGTGCTTGTTGAATATGCTAGATCTTAAGAATTGTGATCTGTTCTGGGCCTGATGCTTTAAGAATGCTTGTGACAACAAGAATCCAAGAAAGAAACCTGCAGGATGATGACACAAATTGAAATCACTTTATGATTTTATGATGAAGCCCAATTCAAGTAATATAGCTCAACACAGGATGACCTGTCAACTAGTATTTGAAATGTAGTTCATGGGAAAAAGCAAATGTAAAATATGTTTCATACTTTATGAGGACAAACCTAGGACCAACAGGTAGAAGATTCAGGTTTTAGATCAACTATTTTGTAACCCCACAAACAAGCCCAGGATGTTTGTTCTGTGAGCAGGGAAGCCTGGATGCAAAGAATAGGAAGCGTAGCAGTAGACACATTTGTCCCTCTTGTGGGAGGAAGGGTGGGCTCCAGGGCCAGAAACTCTCCAGGCTCTTTCAGCTGCTCTTTCTTCTTTAGGAAACCTTGCTAGGCTGAGTCTCAGATTCTCTGACTCAGTCCAGGTCAGCCGTAAACTAACATCTATTTTTTTTTCTGACTGCTTTGCAACCTTTACTGAAATCCAGATCAACCTTCCTGTTAGACATAAACTTTGGGGATTGTCACACTGTCACAGAATAGGTACTTATCACAGAACCAAGCTGGGTTTTAGCCAAGATAACTTCTACTATTATTCACTCTTAAGTCAATTTATAGGTACAAGCCAGAAGTCTTTTCAGGTGTGAAAGTTAGCCTTGTAGGATTGTCCCTCACATCCAACCCACTCCAAACTCCTGCTTCACTCCGCACTACCTAAGGGAGAGCTCTCTTAGGAAGAGGTGTAGAGAAAGCCTCAGTCCTTTATAGATGTCTCAAGGGCCCGCAAGTTTGTTTTTCCTGTGCTGGTAGGTAGCGTGGCCAGGAATCTGAGAAGGGAGCTGGGAAGTTGAGCCTCCTACCTTGACAGGTGAAGCATCTGATGTGGAAGTGGTTGTTGTGGACTCGGACTACTTCCCCTTTGCAGGTGTCCCCGCAGCGGTAGCACTGGATGACATTGGAGCTGCCCCGGGGATTGTACGGATTCTGCTGATAGGGAACTGCAGGAAGAAACAAAGGATGACTATCCAGGAGGCTCTCTCTAAAAAGTCTGCCATAGGTCATTATTATAACTTCAACTAAAGGAAAAACAAACCTAGAAAGTGTTGAAGTGATTAGCTAAAATACACTACAATATAATACAATGCAATATAATATAATAACGTCATACAATAACTTTATCATCAGGTTGATGGGTCAGGATAGAGCAGCATTACTGAAGATCACTAAGTGTATCCATAAATGTCCTAAGCAGGCAAAGCTGTAGGCATGAGCACAGCCCTTTTTTTTTTTTTGTGATAACGGAGGTCAAATCCCTGAATGAAGAGAATTGAAAGAGGAAGTCGAGTATGGTTAGATGCAAATAACCATGTGTCAATGTCAGATATAGCACATCCCAACATGGTAGGACCATGATATTAGGAACTGAAAAACTCCTATTGCCTTCGTGACATTGTAGCATAGTTATAGCCTGGCATAACACATTATTCATGTGGTGATGCTAGTATAAATAAACCTGTTGCACTGCTGGTCATATGGGTTTTACACAGACAACTATATACAATACATACTACTTAACAATGATGGTGAAACAAGGACACAGGATGACCCATTGCAACAAAGATACCCACAGGACAGTATATTGGAAATGCACTTTACAACTTCAGGTGGCGAGGGGGGGAGGGGAGGAGTGTGGGAAGTGGAGGAGGGATGGGATAGTGGAAAAACAACAAGGAAAGGAAGGAGTAATGTTCTCATTGCCTTACTCATGTAACGGTAACCCCTCTGTACAGCATCTTAACAATAAAACTTAAAAAATTATAAATAAAAAAAGATGGTGAATGACCATGTTACAGGTTTTGTTATTTACTACACTGTACATCTAATTGTTATTTTAGAGTGTGATCCTTTTGCTTACATGAAAAACTTTTCTGCGTAACAGTATGCCATCAGCAGCTTCATGCAGCCTGTGTTTACCTTGGTCAGGAGGTCATGGTGGGTGATGAACCAGTGTCATCTAGGTCTATATAGTATGTACAGGCTATGATGTTTCCAGAATGACAAAATAACAATGTATTTCTGAGAAAGTTCCTGCCATTTAGTAGCACATGATTGTATTTCAAGGTGAATGATTCAGAAATATCATGTCTTGGAGGATCTCTGGATCAAATTAGGCCCCAAACTTGTCAGAGGGAATTTGATTATTGTATTGGACTCATTGGTCTCAAAGCAATAGTGACTGATCCTAACTTCACATGGCTTCTGAGTGAATCAAGCCTTTCTTGGCCTCCATTTCTCATGTATGAAATGAAGGTGGTTGGTCAGTGGTAACACAGACTCTCAAACAAACCACACAGGGGATCTTCTTCTGTCTGGATAGGGACAGGCCATAGGACTAATCTTAAGGTTGCTTCTGGCCAGCACTTCCCATAAGATTGAGAAAATAGCCAATATGTATAATTAAGAAAAAAGAGCACTGGACACTGGTGACTCATGCCTGACTAGCTACTCAGGAGGCTAAGATTTGAGAATGAAATTTGAAGTTATCCCAGGCAGTCAGACAAAACTCTTATTTTCAATTTGTCAGCACTGGAGACATGGCACAAGTGGTAAAGCACCAGATATTCATGGAAAAAGTTGACTGAGAGCTTGAGGTCCTGAGTTTGTCTCAGTACACAAACACACAAACACACACACACACACATACACATACACTGATCCACTGGGAACTGGAGTGCCGTATTAATATTTGGTGATACATAAGATTATATTAAGTGGAGTAAGCCAGGCCCAAAGAAACATAAGTCTCATGGTTTTCCTTATTTGCAATAACTATTATAAGTCTAAGACAAGCAGAAAAGGTCAAAATCTATGTACATATGACCATATAAGATGATGTTAAGTGAAATGAACCTTAAGATAGGGACACAATTGTTTTTTTCTTTCTTGCTACTGTTTTTAATGTATTTAAAATGTACTATGTGATTCTTTTTGTTTCTTTTGTATGTTCTTCCCCCACAATATAATCCCTGTTTTTACTGCATTTGATGTTGATGCCCTATATCTTGTATATACTTCTAATTTGGGGAAGGGAAGAGAAATAACAAAATGCTGAAATAAGAATACAGGTTGACCTATTGTAACAATGAGATATACAAGACATTATGTTGAAAATGAGCTATACAACTTGGGGGCAGGGGAGAGAGGAGTTGGGGATGTGGGGAGGGAAGGGATGGTAGGGAAAAAACAAAGGAGGAGGTAACAACGCTCGATAGGAAATGTATTCATTACCTTATTCATGTAACTGTAACCCCTCTGTACAGCATTTCTACAATAAAACATATAAAACTTCAAAAAGTTCTAGTAAACTATAAAGTCTACTAATCTGCTGTACATAGCTCCTTTTCAAGACCTATTTTTTTTACCTAAAATATACATAGTTTGACCATCCTAAACAATGGTCTAGACTCCTGTCTAGATGACTGGAGTTTATGCCCTATGAGAAGGCTCACTTCTATTCTGGTTATAAAGATTACCACCTGGGTGAAGAGAAATTGATATCAATTATTTACACAGGTAGAATTCCTGGTTCAGTACATCTTAAGCTAAGCTGGACTCCTAGCAACTTTGAACTACAAAGGAATTTAGAAATCTCATCCTTCAGGAGTTGTTGACCTGATGTGGTAGTTGTTCTCTTTCGAGTGAAATTTGATGTTTCCTTCTAGGTACATGAAATATTGCACATGGCAACTGGCTTACCCATGAAGTATCAGTGAAAATTGTGTGTTTCCCTTCCAGTTGGAAGCCTTGGTGCTAGTATTTGATCTGCCATATTGCCTTTCCCCTCACCAGCAATGAGTGACAGATGACTTGATGGCACACACGATCCATCAAACCTAACATGAACATCTATCAGAAGCAAGAACAAGCCGGGTGCTGCTGGCTCACACTTGTAATCCTAGCTATTCAGGAGGCTGAGATCTGAGGACCACGATTCAAAGCCAGCCCAGGCAGGAAAGCCCTTGGGACTCTTATCTCCAATTAAGCACCCAAAACACCAGAAATGAAGCTGTCGCTTAAGTGTTAAAGTGCAAGCCTTGAGCAAAGAAGCTCAGGGACTGCATTCAGGCCCTGAGTTCAAGATCCATGACAAAGAAGAAGAAGAAGAAGGAGAAGGAGGAGGAGGAGGAGGAGGAGGAGGAGGAGGAGGAGGACAAATCATTGTTGTCTTGGTTTCTAAGACTCAGTCTTAGATTCTACAACTCAGTCTATCCTATGAGACCCACCCACCCGATACTTCTCTCTAGTTATTTGGTGCATTGTGTATTATTCCCTAGTTATCTTCATAGACGCAAAGAGGTCTATGATACCTATATCTGATCTCATCCACTCTTTTTAAAGATGAGGAACAAGTAAACAGAGGTTCTTATAATATTCTACTCACAGGTTTCCTGAATCACATATGTGCTGTAGGGCAAGGAGCTGCTTGCTTATCCCTATATTGGTTTTTTTTTGTGTGTGACAATTTTGCTAACTAGGGTGAGGAAAAAAATATCTGCCACACAATCTTCCTCTCCATTATTCAGATCTCTTTTTTTTTCTATCTGAATTCAAGACAAAATAAGAAATGAAGTAGTTAACCAAATTGTTAATTAAGTCACTGAAAGGCATATTGCATTCACCACAAATGTTCAAAGGAGTCATGAACATCACATAGATGTTCATAGCTCAAAGTCAGCCTTCTTGTCCTTTTCATTCCAATCCTACTTTCTTCTTTTTCTGATTCCTGCCAATGTCCCCTGGAAAATATTTCACTCCCCCACCTCTTCCAACTTGTGAGAAAAATAGAATCCCTATTTATATGAGCAATGTGGTGTTTTACCACTGCCAAGGTGGGTGTGAGCCTGAAATCAATTAGAACAAACAGTACTATCACCCCTACGACTGAGGACAAAAGCTTGGAATCTCTGAGAGTCTCTCCAGAATCACTACAGGTTTTCATCTGCCTGCTCTAAGCCAACCTGCCTTAGGGTTTAACAACTTCAAAAATCAGTTTGATTTTTTTTTCTAATTTAATTCGATTTTATGGGGAAGTGGATTTGTGAGCTTGGTCCTCAGTCAGAACTCAGTCTTTGAACCACCCAGATAAAAAGACAAAGTCAGAGTAAAGGGATAGAAAATAGACATTTTGGAGCAGAAGTACTAACTGTGCTGTTTCTCCTAGGATGGGAATGCTGATTGGGGGACACTGAGTGTGACCAGAGCCTCAGCACTGTCTGATGTTTGTCAACTGGCCCACAATAGAAATTGCTGGTACAGCGCCTCCCAAGTTGTTTGTGTAAGATGTGACTAGAAAAAGGCAAAAAATTTGATTTCACAGTTGTGGCAAGATCTTTCCTTATCCAGGCAGTACTGATAGGAACTCTGGGGTCAGGGAAGCGAGGCATCTCTGTTCTAGTTAGATTTTTCTATTCTTGGTGAATTAGATCAGGAACATAATCAACTCTTACTTGATGTGTAGGTGTGTATGGAGGGAAATGTGTCATTTCTTCCCACCAATCTATAATTTCCACGAACACTGATTTGCATTCGTGTATGCATGTGTGTGCGTGCGCACGCGAGCACGTGCGTGTGTGTGTGAGAGAGAAAGAGTGAGAGAGAGAGAAAGAGCGAGTGAGCAAGCGAGAGAGAGAGAGAGAGCATAGCCATTGATAAAACTTAGGGCTTCTCATTTGTTAGGAAATGGAAAGACTTGGAAAAATTATATTAGGTATAGTAAGCCAGGCCCAAAGAAACATAGGTCCCATGGTTTCCATTATTTGCAATAACTAGTATATGTCTGAGTCAAGCAGAAAAGGCAGATAAGTTGATGTTAGGGAAATGAACCCCAAGGTAAGTATTCAAATGTTTTTTTTATTTCATGCAATTGTTTGTATCATATTTATAAGATGATTTCTTTGTTGCTTTGTATGTCCTTCCCCCACGGTATAACCGCTGTTTT